CAAAAGACTATGAAAACGGTCCTGCTATACACTCTATGTGCAACGTATATCCCGGGGGTGAGGATGCTCTGCACTCCGGGCCTCTGCACTCCGTATAGAAAACGCGCCCGGGCAAAGAAAACGGGGCTTCAACTCCCTCCTTTTTTGTTTTATTTGATTTATTGATGCTTTTTCAATTATTATTAGACGCTTCTCTTTAAATTGTTATTAATATCCCTATACAAGAACATCAAATGATCAATTACGAAAAAGTGCAAGTAAGATGAAAACTTTCACTTCAATAATTTTACTTTAGTATTTATCATTTTAAAGTTATCTCTAATAGTTTTTTTTACAATTTATTTTTGTTCCAGCTTAATGTTTGTTTGTTTGTTTGTTTTTCATATATTTCATAAATTCCAATAAGAGATTTCTATCCTTTCTCGAACCTTTCTCCGCGCTGAGAGATAAGGAGGGAAGACCAAGGGGCACGAGAGACGATGGTCTTTGGGGTCTTGGTGATGCCCGGTCTCTTGTGAGGAATGGGCCCTCTCTAAGTGCAGACAAGTGGTCGTGTGAAGTGATTTTTTTAAGGGTAACAGGAGACATTTGTGTTGATTTAATTGATCGAAGTGGCAGAAAGACCGGCGACTATTTTCCTTTTGTTCTCTTGGTGATTTTACGTTTTTGTGTTTCATTTTGGTGTTTAATCGACTCTTAATGTTTCGTTTCAAACTTTTACTATATTCCAATAAATGAAAAGTAGATATAGATGTTTTACCTGTATATACCGTCACAGCCCTTTAGTGAAATGAAAGAAAGAGACAAAGACTGTAAAAAGCAGTGCAGTGTAGATAAAATGACCAGGAACAGGAATTAGTCACACATCGCGGAACCACATCTCCTTTCGGCTAACAGAACTCTCGCACAACACACTTCATTCTCTCTCTCCTTCTCCTTCCCTCTCCTTCTCCTTCTCCCTCTCCCTCTCTCTCCCCTTCTCTCCCTTTCCTCATCCTCATCCTCTCCCTCTCCCTCATCCTCTCTCTCACACACACATAGGCACAGACACACAGACTCATCCATTATCTAATCTTACACTCAATGATCACATCACATCAACACTCCGTTCCCATACGGTGACTGAATGGGTGGTGGCAGCGATTTTTTTTATTGAGATAATTGAACATTACGCTTTGTTGCACATGTCCCATCCTTTTTTCTCACACTCCCTTACCTTCTCCGTTTCTGTCCCCTTCCAACCCTTCCTCTCTCTCTCTCTCTTGGCCTCTTCCTTACTGCCCCATTCCTCTCGTCTTTTTTTCCCTTCTTTATCGTATACCCCCTTCATCCTCTTTCCCCTAAACCTTTCTTTACCCCCTTTCCTTAGCCTTTTTCCTCATCCCTAGCCTACACTTCCAGCCCCTCCTCCAGTCCGTTCCCCAGCCCTTTCCTAGTCAATCCCTCCCCCTTGCATTCAGTTCTTACCTTACACTCTAGACCATCCTTCCCTTTTACCCTTTACCCAGCGATTTCGTCATACCCTTGCTCGTTATTTTCCCTCTCTCCCATTACCCTCCCCATTTCTACAGGGTCATTCCTCATCTTCTTATCCTTCATTCCTATATTCGGCTCTTCTTCCCTTCCCCTTCACCCCCGTTTCTCCTCCCTGGCACTTCCCTCATCCTTACTTTATTGAGTAGTCTTCTCTATAGGTCTTAATCATCTCTTTTCCTCCCCCTTCCCTAGTCCCTCCCCCACCCCCAAGATCTCTTTTCCCCCTTCCCTACTAGTCTCTCCCTTTGCCTACAAGTCCACGCCCTTCCCCTTTCTCTAGCCCCTCCCTCGTCCCCTTCCCCCTTGTCTAACTCTTTCGTCATCACCTCCCTCCCCTAGCTCCTTCCCCCTCCACTTGCCCCTTCCTCGCCCCTCCCTCACCCCTCACTCCCGTCTCCTTCCCCTATTCTCTCCTATTTCCTCTCCCGCGCCCCCTATCATCTTCCAAACCCCTTACCTACTCCTCTTTAACCTCTCGCCCCATCACCCCCCCTATCTCCTAGCTCCTTCCCCTTTTTAACTCATCCATCACCCCACTATCCCCTCCCCCTTCCCTCCCCTCCCCTATCCTTCCCCTTCCCCTTCCCCTAGCTCCCCCTCCCCCATCCCCTCCCCCTTTCCTATCTCCTTCCTCTTCCTCTCCCTTTCCCCTATCTCTCCCCCTTTCCTATCCCCTACTTCCCCTTTTCTAACCATCCCCTATTTCCTTCCCCCTCTCCCTCCCCTGTCCGCCCCTTCCTCGCGCGGCGGTGACACCTGCCTGATCCTGGTGAGCGACGGCTGGCAGCAGCGACGGCGCCTCTTCGTCTCTACCTGGGGTCTGCATTCCTCAGGCCAACTCATGCCATAAGCAGAGGCGGTGCCCCGATGCCACGCACGCCCCGCGGGAGTGCCTCCAAGACGAGCCGGGGCCAAGCAGCCGTGCCTCTTGGTGCCACCCTCGGCGGAGGTGGTCCGGAAGTGC